TCCCAACCCCGGATTCCCAGATTCCAGAGGGATCCCTCACCCCCTGGGGCTGGATGGGACATTCCCAATCCCGGATTCCCAGATTCCAGAGGGATCCCTCACCCATGATCTCCAGCTGGACGTGCAGGAAGTTCTCGGCCTCGTCCCGCAGGGAGCTCTGGGAGCGCAGCGGGACCGGCAGGAACCCGAACACCTCCCGGTTACTGACGAACATCTGCACCCCTGGAGAGGGATTGGGATTGGGAATGGGATTGGGAACCCCAAATAAACCCCCACAAACACCTCCCGGTTACTGACGAACATCTGCACCCCTGGAGAGGGATTGGGATTGGGAATGGGATTGGGAATGGCATTGGGAACCCCAAATAAACCCCCACAAACACCTCCCGGTTACTGATGAACATATGCACCTCTGGAACGGGATTGGGATTGGGAATGGGATTGGGAACCCCAACAAACACCTCCCGGTTCCTGACGAACATCTGCACCCCTGGAGAGGGATTGGGATTGGGAATGGGATTGGGAATGGCATTGGGAACCCAATAAACACCTCCTGGTTCCTGACGAACATCTGCACCCCTGGAACAGGATTGGGATTGGGAATGGGATTGGGAACCCCAAATAAACCCCCACAAACACCTCCCGGTTCCTGACGAACACCTGCACCCCTGGAACGGGATTGGGATTGGGAATGGGATTGGGAATGGGATTGGGAATGGGATTGGGAACCCAACAAACACCTCCCGGTTCCTGACGAACACCTGCACCCCTGGAGAGGGATTGGGATTGGGAATGGGATTGGGAATGGGATTGGGAATGGCATTGGGAACCCCAACAAACACCTCCTGGTTCCTGACGAACACCTGCACCCCTGGAGAGGGATTGGGATTGGGAATGGGATTGGGAATGGGATTGGGAATGGCATTGGGAACCCCAACAAACACCTCCCGGTTCCTGATGAACACCTGCACCCCAATCCCACCCAATCCCACCCAAACCCACCCCAAACCCCCCCCCCTCCCCCCCGGCGTCACCGGCGTGCCGGCAGGCGAAGGCGAAGACGATGATGTCGTCGAAGGCGCCGCCGTAGCCGGGGGGGGGCGGGTGGAAGGCGAGACCCCCCGAGCGCTGCCGGCGCAGGTCCAGCAGCACCGTCGAGTGCACCATCGGCACCGCGAAGCACCCGCGGCGCTCCCGGCGCCGCAGCGGCAGGTACGACGGGGTGCGGCGGTAATAGCCCTGGGAACAACGGGATAACACCGGGAATTACACCGGGAATGGCACCAGGGATAGCCCTGGGAATGTGGGAATAACGGGAATTACAGTGGGAATGACACCGGGAATGGGGCAGGTACGAGGGGGTACGGCGGTAATAGCCCTGGGAATGTGGGAATAATGGGAATTACAGTGGGAATGGCACCGGGAATAGCCCTGGGAATGTGGGAATAGTGGGAATTATAGTGGGAATGGCATCAGGAATAGCCCTGGGAACAACGGGATAATGGGAATTACACCGGGAATGGCATCAGGAATAGCCCTGGGAATGTGGGAATAATGGGAATTACACCGGGAATGGCACCAGGAATAGCCCTGGGAATGTGGGAATAATGGGAATTACACCGGGAATGGCATCGGGAATAGCCCTGGGAATGTGGGAATAATGGGAATTACACCGGGAATGGCACCAGGAATAGCCCTGGGAATGTGGGAATAATGGGAATTACACCGGGAATGGCACTGGGAATGGCGCTGGGAAGAAGGAATGACACTGGGAACAGAGAACGACACCGGGAATGACGCCGGGTCCCTCCCCCCCTTGGGAGTTCCCAAATCTCCCCCGAGGGGTCCCAGAGCTCCCCTGGAGGATCCCAAATCTCCCCTGGAGGATCCCAAATCTCCCCTGGAGGATCCCAAATCTCACCTGGGGGGTCCCAAATCTCCCCTGGGGGGTCCCAAATCTCCCCTGGAGGATCCCAAATCTCCCCTGGGGGGTTCCCAAACCTCCCCTGGGGGTCCCAGAGCTCCCCTGGGGGTTCCCAAATCTCCCCTGGGGGGTCCCAAATCTCCCCTGGAGGATCCCAAATCTCCCCTGGGGGTTCCCAAACCTCACCTGGGGGGTCATTCCGCACCAGAAGTTGGAGTAGGCGGCGCGGGAGTCGAGCATGGGGGCCACCACGGTCTTGTTCTCGGCCATCAGCAACCCCAGCGTGTCGGGGTTCGTCAGCACGTTGTCGGCGTCCAGGAACTGAGGGCAGGGGGGCACCCCCGGGGTCAGGGGGG